GCTTCTTGTAGCCCTTAACTCTTGTTCTCTGCTTTGCAGAAGTGCCACATAACCAGGCAGCGTTTTGTGTCAGCCAGGGATGTCTGAGATGTTTCCAGGTCCCGCTGTGTTGTGGCACAGTTCAGTGAGGTGAACCGGGTGCATTTGGGACCATCCGGATCAATCTCTGCTGCTCAGGTGACCTGCGTGCCAGCGAGGTGACAGCTGGCTGCGCGAGGAAGGGCCGCAGTGTTCAGAGGCAGCCGTGTTACAGGGATGTTCCTTGGGCAGAGGACAGGTCATAGTTTTGCCACTCCGAAACGCGGTTGTCTGCAGTGGGTTGGAGGCCGCACACATGGGATATTGTGTTTGGAAAGCTCGTACTGCAATGCTGCCTGCTGTATTTTAATGCTGGAGCTTGTAAATGTAATGGAATAAACAGTTTTTCTGTGTGTTGCACTACTAATTTGAGGGAGTCTTTTATTTCCACTGACTTCCTCGGAGGTTACAGCTCGTGACCCACTTGAAAACAAACCCATGCTCTAGAGCTACGCTGTACAACGTGGCAGAGTGTCACAAACTTCTGAGTGAGTGCAGGTAGGCACAGAAGTGCAGGCTGAAAAGGGGCTTTTGTACGAATGAAAAGGAAACAGTCTAGAAAGGGGGAAGAAGAATTTATTCACATCTTTCTCAACTCATTCTTTGCTCTGATTTTTCCTTTGGGAGGATGGCACCTGGTAGACTAGGAATTTTCAAAAAATAACAGGGATTTCATATATCTGTTTGTGAGCACACCTGGATGTGTTGAATATTTTGCAGTAGTAATTATGTCTGCACACCTGCTGGTTTCAGTCCCCAATCAGTTTGCCAGACATGCCTAGAGAGATTTATTTCTCCTATACCTGAAAAAGCTCTTTTACCACCGAGTGTTTAGTACTGTAAATAAGCCTAAAGAAAAAAAGAGGAGGATTTTTTCTTGTCTTTGCTTGAGCCAGTGGTATCTCAAACTGAACTGTGGAGTTTGTAGGGGGAGGCGAGTGTTTGGATGATATTTTAATAGCAATTTGTTTTTGCTTCAATGTGTGATAGAAATACAAGTGACAGGAGTGGGAACAGGAGAGTTGCTGAATTCTGCTGGAATTTTTCCTGTGGGAATCTGTTAATGTTTTTAATTCTCTGAGAGATTTTTCTAAGGTAATCCTTTTGACATTTACGTATTTTAAATGACTCTCATTAAATGAAAGCTGAACTTTTTTTTCTATATAAAATGCTGAAGTGATGATACTGGAATACCACTGCATAGAAATTGAAGTGGTTTGAAGATTATTCTAATTGCAGCCTAAACAAAGTAAGTTTTGTGAGGGATATTAATAGTGAATTGTTCTTTAAAATAATGTCATTTTGAAGGAAATTCAATTGTTCTGGCATTTAGTAGAAGCAATTTTTTAAACGAAACTCTTTTTACTACCTAATGTGTGGTGCACATAGCTGTTTGCTAATTGAAACACTAATTTGAACAGCTGGGTTTTCCACTCCGTGCTTGCGTAGCAAATATAATCTATGCAGGAGCCCAAGGGTTTGCAGCGCACCTTGTGAAAAATACTTTCAGTTGTCTGTAGCATATCAGAGTGTAGCTCAGCCCCTGAAGGAGGATGCTGTTACCAGCACAGGGAAGGCTGGAAGAAATAAAAAGTGGAACATCTTTTAAAAAAATACGAGCGTGATGATGTGGTGTTGTGTCTCTTACTGGTGATACCCTCTTCCAAACAAATAACACCATAAACAAAATAACTCGTATCTTCTCATATCCTTTCATAGGAGGCAGGAGTCACAGCATGCTATGATACGGTAGCTCAGGGACATACATACAGTCCAGCCTTTAGATGCTTTTAAATGAACTTTCTTCTGGAGGTTGCACTTTGCTTGTTCAAGCCCTTGAGCCAGATTTTGCTCGGAGACCAGCCTAAATAGTAAGCAAATTAATTTAATTAAATTTGCTGCAGATATCCCCAGTTAACAAGAACATATTGGTCTCCCTGAGGCTAGATGGAGTTAACAAGAAAATAAATGTCGTGCTAATTAGAGAACTCATTTTCAGACACCTGGGGTGAAACTAAAGTCTTGGAGATTTAGGATTGAAAATTCATTTGAAAATGAATCTTAGGTTCCTAAATCATTTAGGCACTTCTGAAAAATTTACCCAGGGGCTTTAATCGTTCCACAGTTATCATATTTAGCATGTTTGTAGTTATCTGCTTAGCAAAGCACAGTATAACCGTATCACTGCACCACAATGTATTTCATTATCCCCGTAAGTAAAGCAGAGATATTGGCCTACCTGGTGAGTTGAAGGTAGGTTAAATGTCTTTGTTTTTAGGATGCTTGTGTGCCAACAGGCACAGATGGATGCTTTCTTGGAGTTTTTAAGGTACCAGTGCACCAAATTTCTGTTTGCGACCTCAGAGGACTTTCAGTTGATTTAGGTACCTGAAAGCTTTTAATTAGATCTTGGTCTTAAGTGACTTGTCCAAGCTCATGGGTGAAGAAGACAGCACAGATGCAATTTTATAGTTCAGCACTTGCTGGGAGAAAAATGAGACACTTAATACTGTCACACTGCCATTCATCTGAGTCATCATAGGAAGTAATAAGGAGTCCTCTCATATGCCCAATAAAAAATGACATAAGTTTAATATTAACCCCATTTTACAGATTCACGTATCAGATTAGCAAAAAAGCAAGCAACGAACCAGGCTCCGAGGAGCAAAAAGTCACTTCATTTGCTTAAAGCTTGAACATACGTTTTCAGGTGTTTTTTTTCCCGTAGCCAGTCTGAGAGTTTTTCTGAAAGATTGTCCTTGTAAAGACATGCATTAGTAGCGTCTGTTTCATGCCAGGTAAAACCCTTCCCACAGCCACGCACACACTTGCTGTCTGTCAGCAAAAACTTCTGTGTCACTAATTAGAAAAATGCTATTAAAAACCTGCCTTGTAATCCCAGATAGCCTCTGGGTTGACTCAGTTCTATTTTGTCTTCCTTGCTCAGTGCAGTAACCCGGGATCGTCCCACCGTGAAGAGGGACCCCACTCCCCTGACAAGCTGCCTAGCTGCTCCTTTATTTAGGTGGCTCTATGGAGCGTCATTTTGAGGGCAACAGCACACAGCTGTAGTGTCCCAAAGAGGTGACCCTCGGTGACAAAATCCTCAGTCTAACAGGTTTATAACACAGATGAAGTGTGTTACAGACAGGCACTTGGGAGCTGGATCTCACCACGGGGCGAACCTGTACATCATGTAATCATCTGAAAATTTACTCCAGCCTGTCATGAGCCTACCTCATCAGACAACATCATAAAACAGATGAGTCAGGGCACTAAAACGTGGAGGTTATCCACTGAGCTCATTATTTTCTTATCTAATTACACAGTGCTATTGAGGGAGAACTGCACATTATGCTGAAGAATCCTGTTTCATCACTAGTCCCAAAAGATAATTGTGTTTAATTAGGACCTATAGGTACCATAGTGGTCACTGATCTATAAACACTCAAGGCAGACCTGCAAATGAGGTGCAATAGCAAGTGCATCCATTAAACACAATCCAAAAGCTGATACGGAGTTGAGATGACTCAACTTAAAATTAAAAGTTAAGCTGTTTTAATTTATAATGTGACTTATAGCTGTAGTGCTCTGTTCTGATTCTCTGCAATACTTCTGCTGTGAACCAGCAGGAAGAAAACCACCTGGTTTTCCCTTACTGATTAGAAAACTGCTTATTTAATCCAGTCTAATATATGCAGGAATGGGAACAAGTGATGAGAGTTGACATCTGTAGTGGCAAAAGCTGTCCTTTTCTGTGTAAGGTCAGATCAGAAAGGAAGAAGCACAAGTACAAGCATCACTAATAATGTCACAGATAAAGCAATAAAAACTTTTCATGGTGAAAACATTTTTTGCAATGTGCGTTATAGTGCATTTTCCAATGAGCTGTGAATTGTACTTACAAAGAAGTTGCTGGTCACCTTGTCCCAGCATGGGTCTGGAGGGTCATTTGAGCAAGTCACAGAAAAGTCACCCTTGTCCTTCTTTCGTGCTGTGCACAACGGCCTGCAGAGGCGTTAATGTGAGTGGAAATGCTTGGTGAGGGTGCCGGATCAGTGAGTGTGCCCAGTTACATCACACAGACCATCCCTGTGAGTTCAGAATAAATTGTTCTTCACATTTCCCATGTTAGACAGGGCAACAGGCTTCCCCATGTGCTTGTCCTGTTCTTTGCTGACTTGGACCACATTTGAACCAACGACATAAAGCTGAAAGCATCTGTCTGTATTGATCCTTTGGGGAATACAAACCCCTTGGAATAAAATGTTTAACACGTAGTCACTAAGTTAGTGTGAAATACTGGATTTCTTTTTTCAAGTAACCCTGCTTGGAACCAAAAATTCAAGCACTTGGGAGCAATGGGATTCTTGTGTAAGAATGATAATAACTAATCTCGTCTGAAATTCTTTTCAGTTGATATGTTCACTGCGATGCTTTTCTGTAAATGGTTGTGAGTGGAAAACACTGAAATAGTATTTTTATGGGGCGGAAGGGGAAAGACTTGCCAAGGGGTTAAGTGGAATGATCAATTGCTTGCCCACTGAAATTATGGGTATCCAGTTTCTTGCATTTCCTAGCTCTTCCTTTTTTCGGCAGGGAGAGCAGCTGAACAATTTTGTATTTACAAGTGCGCAAGAGGTGCACACACGTGGCCAGCTGAGCTCTTGCCTTGCTTAAAGAGGAATGCAGTAGAAAGCGGATTTGACAGCCGCTTATCAGTGGACGTTACGAGGAACTACTTTACACTGAACTGTATGGCAAATGGAAATAACATCCAATAGTGATAATTCATAGAGGAAAGTGACTAGGAAAAGCAAATGTCCTGATGGGAATATATTTAAGGTTGTAATTTCACTTTAGGCTGTTTTACCCTCTGTGATATCTGTGTCTTCCTCTCACTCCCCCAGTTCATTGCTCAGATGGCTCTGCCACCTCCAGATCCACAGTTTGTTCTCAGGGGTACCAGTGCTGCAGTCCACACTCTGCACTTTTCCTGTGGAGGCCAAGAACCCGATGTCCCCATCCTTTTCTCTGGGTAAGTAAACCAGGATTTCTGGCTGAGTCAAGTATCATATGGACGTTTTCTTTTAAAATAAAGTGTATCATTTAGATAAATTATATCTGGAGAAAACAATAAAATGCATGGTTGGCAAATGACGGGTGTGTTACCTTTTTATGTACGTCTTCAGTTTTGAAAAAAAAGGAAAAGTATTAGACTGTCTTATCAGATTGTCTGCCGTGGTCACGCTAAAAGCATCTGTTCTGACTGCCAGGTCCGAGAGTGGGTTTATCCATGTCTGGAACCTGAAAACACACAGAGTGGACACTGCACTGGATGGCCATGGAAGAAGATCTGTCTACTGGGTAGAGACAATGGATGGTAAAGACAGGCTCCTCAGGTTAGAAAAGCAGGCAAAAAACAGTGAAATTATTCTTTTCTCTGTGATATACATGATTGGAGAGGGAAAAAAAAAGGAATCTCTTATTTCTGGAGTAATTGAAAGTCTCTTGAACACATATGGAACTGTACAGAAGTACAAAAATACAGAACAAAAAGCGGAAAAAATTATATGATTAATTTCTTTATGATATATATGTGACAACATCACAACAACTTGGGGTCCATCGTGTCTTTATTATTGCATTGAGATAAGGTGAGGTCTTTGCGTAAAGGAAACATGCTTGGCTTCAAAGTTGACAAATGCTTCACAACTGGTTCTCAGGGAAGATCAAAATTGATATAAAGAGTTTACAAATAGAGGGGAGAGGGTGAAAAGGTAAGTAAGGAAGAGAAGAATTGGAGATGGAGAATGGAAGGCTGAAAATGAGCAAGAACGCTGAGTTGCACTCCTTTGCTTTGTTGCAAAATCTCTCCTGTTCTTGTTTAGCAAGGGAAGGTCGGGAAGATTTGTGTACTTTGGATTAGACAGGTGATCCAGAGTAGATGCCAAAGTGTCTGTATGACTAGGAGGTGTTCTGACATGTTTATCTAGAGAAGACATCTCTTATAATATACAGTGGAACTCATTTAGCATTTATATTTGTTATCTGCTTAAGTACAATTATCAACACTCTCCCCCATAAAATCATATTGAATGAGCATTGTTTGTATATAGAGTTTTTCCATACCTCTATTTTTGCTGCAAGTTTCTAACAGTTCACAGAGCAGTGCAATTTTAGGACAGCAGCTACCTGTATTTGTTGTTTCTCTCTTCTAAAGCTAAACCACAACAATTTCTTGCAGTACCACATTGTTTGTATGCCCAGTGCTATAAATGTTTTGACAGTTTGTCACTCACCTGCACAGCAGATGGGGGTTTCTGTACTGACGTTGAAGTAGTCCCAACAGTCTGTAGATTTGCATCTACCTCTGTTCTGGTTTCATCAAGTGATACTGCTAATTAAAATAAGAAATGGATAATGGATTTTTGATGATGACTCCTTGTCCCAGGTGATAACATGAGGACACATATCCTGTGCTACTGTACTCTGTGGACTGGAAGCTTCTCCACAGTGGTAGTTTGTTCAAGAGCCAGTGGGATCACATAAATATGTAGCAATTGATGCTGTGGCCTCTGTCTGGCCTCCTTGGCCTTACTGTGGGACCAACACACAGACTTTTCTGTGGGATGGAGAGGTGCGCAGAGGAGTCTCTGCGTGAGCAGCTCTAGTACATCGGCGATGCAGCCGCTGGTTCTCGGTTTGGGAAGTTTTAGGCACAGCGTTTCATTGTCTAATTCCTGCTACTCACTGCACTGCCGGTCCCTCTCCTGTTGTGTCTCCACACACACGCAGGCGTAACCGTCCCTGTGGCTGCGGGAAGTTGACCACTGAATAACTGTAGCTTTTTATTAATCTTTGATGCAGTCTTTGTCGTCTTGCTGTTTGTTTTTCATCTGCAAACATGCCTGATGTTTCTGTGTTGTTGCTAGGGTGAGAGAGTGTTAAACGTGTTCTTCTCTGGCTACTTTTGATGCCTTTTAAAAGGACATATAAAGCACACAGAAACAGCGTAACTGTGTTTGATCACGAATCTCCAAACAAGGAAGCGTGGCTAGCTGTGACTGCAGTGCGCCTGACTGGCTCTCAGGTCCTCCCTCCTCCCAGTAACTTTTGAACCTGTTGGGCAGTTTGCAGTCAGTAGAAGGGTGGTGGTCACGGTGATAGATTTCATTAAAGGCCCAATTAATGCCCCCACAGAAGCTGTTCTAAGCTCACTCCTTACTGCATGTTAAAGACCCCGCTCTGAGATACTCACCTGCAGGAAGCCAGGCTTCCTCAGACCTGCTGCTCGTGCATAACTTGCTTTACTGTCACAGTCAGGGTCGTGACCAGAGGATCTGCTTGTGGGATTTAGCAGAGGGACGGACTTCAGTGACGGATTCCGTCTTCACAGAGAATGTGGGATTCTGCAGGTGCTCTCTGTTAAAGGTGGCACAGGGACGCTGGCTAATGGCCATGGCAGCCAAAGCCCTGGAGGAGGTAGGAACTCTCTCTTTTTCTGGTGCTGGGGAGATTGCTTTTGGGTTTTAAATGAGATGGTTCAGAAGGGGACACATCATGGCTCTCAAATTCTCTGCTCAAGGAAGGCAGCACAAGGAACCTTTGGGCATTCTAATCACTAATTTTACCTGCCAGAAAGATGACTGAATTATGTAACTCATGCTCTAATAACAAGGATAGCACCCCAAGATTTGTCTGACATTTAAGTATTTGCAGCTGGTGCTCTTTCATGTGCAGGAGTTTTGAAAACTCCTCTAGTGCTGCTGAATACTGTTAAAGGGGAACAAGTCCTTCTGGGGGACTAATGGTCAGAAAGCCCGTCATCAGATGGAGGTACTCATCTTCCATCTGAAGCTGAGTCGTGTTTGGGGAGGGGAGGTGCAGGTGATTTGTAATGCAATATGTGGTCCTTCACCCCGGGCTAATTCTTTAACTGGTACTTGGCCTGGAAATAGTTGTATTGCTATTAGCAGCCAGAGGTTTGCTCGGTGTGAGATAATTGTAGGGTCCGTTTCAGTTCCTACTTACTGGGTAAGTCCACGTCTAATACCCATTATCACAGCAATCACAGGCTGACAGCTGTGTTGGCAATGTCCACTTCTGCTTTGTAGAAATCATACTTTTGTTTTGTTTGAAGGACTACTGAGGACATTACACAAAAATAAATTATTTCAAATACTTGACATCAAAATACCAAAAAAAGAAAAAAGTGGCATAAATATGAAAAGAAATATTGTAGCTAATTGCGAATTGTTCATGAGCATGAAAGGTCACATGCTTTTCTGGACTATAGGATACGTATCTTGAAACTGCAAGTTGCATATTTTATATACAAAGTACTAAGTGGGAATGGTGCCTGTGTTGCAAGAAAATGTGAACTTGTTATTATTCAGAAGTTAAGCACATATTTAAGTACTTTGTTGGCTCTCAGCCAGAATGTTCAGCCTTTTACAGAACTGAGTAAGCCTGTGGACACAACCACTGTACCCATAAATACAACCATTCTACGTCCCATACGTTGTTCTGGTCACACAAAGAACTCTCTCCATTTTACAGCAGTGCTCAATAATATGTGAGTTAAACAGTATTGACAAGTGCATTCTTGTGTCAGCCAAACACACATTCTGGTAATGAAGAATTAAATAATCATCTGATCCAAAGAGAAGACATTTACCTCAATGTCTTCTACAGCTCATCTCTGTTTTGTTTTCATTTGTTTGCTTGGGCTCTGCAAACTGATAAGGATTTGCTGTCTCCTGAGGTAAGAGTTCCACTCTGTGTATGAACCTTTACACTAGACCTGTGTCAGGTTTCAATAAATTCACATAAGCTCCTATAATATATAGTGTTTCCAAACAGGCAGCACTGTGTGAGACACAGTACATTTGCAGCTTATGATTAAAATTAAGACTTAATAAGTGTTTATGCTTGGCTGGTGCCCAAAAAAAGAGTAATTTTGTCTTAAAGCAGGTTCAGTCCATAAATAATGAGATCTGAACAGGCATTTATTTGTTCATGATTGCATTTAAATCACCAATTATGAGTTACATGCACTTTTCTTGCCAATTTGCCAGAAACATGTTAAAAGCTTTATTAATGTGAAAAAGAAAAAGGGTGTGTTTCCTTGTGGCCAGTTTTAGCCACCCAGGAACACTATTAACCTCAGGCAAAGGCAAATCTTTCTCCTATTAAGCAAAACCAATATAAACACAGAACTTCAAGTTTTAGGTTACAGTTGTCAAAATATATGAAATAGTATTTATTTCTAAGGCTTGGTTGCCTCTAATGCAGACAGTCTCTGGAACTGTCAATGGAGCACAGGCAGCTCACGCCTGCCCGCCTTCTACAAAAAGCTTTTCTCATCTTTGTGTTTTTCTTTGCTTTGCAAGCCCAACTGTAGCCGGTGTACCAGTTTGTCCATTTTTCATCAAGGTAAAGCAAAGGAGGTTATGGGGTTTTTTTGACTTAACCTGCAAAATTGCATTTATCACAGCACACTTATCCTTCCTTATTTCATAAAAGTTGCAGTTTTAGTCTTGTCTCCAATGCCCTTTGGAGAGCCAGTGATGAAAGACATGAGAAGTGAGCAGGTCATCTTCATGTTTATAGCCCATTTCCTGCAATAGCTTACTTGGTCATTATGTTGGTAGCAAGAAAGTTGCCTAGAGAAAAGCATCTTTTATTAAGCATGTAACTCCAAAGAACCAGAAATCCCAGATGATCAAATTTTGGTCTGTTCATAGGTTTGGTCTACATATTGGATGGCTCTTCGCTGTAGTCTCCATTCCTCAAATCTAGAGAACAGTTTCCTGCTCCATGGCTAAGTGGCTTTAGAAAGTGTTCCGTACATTGTGTTTGGTGCATTGTCGACTTGCAGTCCTAGAGCACAGCTGGCTTTTGGCAGGCTGGCTGACAACCTCTAGAAACAGGAAGATGTTCTGGCAAGCCTTGAACTAAAGGTACGGGATTGGAAAGCCATCGCAGCTGCCGTGGTCTTGATTGATGGCTCCCAGAGGAGCCGTATTTGTGTAATACCTCATCTCAGATGCTTAGGGAAATTCGCGTGACTGGGGCTGTCCAACAGCACTGCTGGGCTTTTGCACATTCCGAAATAGCCTAGAACGGCTGGTGACACTGGATTTATCAAATGTCTGAAGTCCTTTCATTTTATGAGATAATGCAGACCATTGTTTATTTAATTAAAATAAAATATCACCTTAGTGATTAAGTATGCATTTGAGAAACAGCAATATTCCTGCCAGCAGGTTTTGATACCTAAGAACTTCTATTTCTCCAGAGTTCCAGGCTTGACAGTCAGCCCAAGTGAGGCACTTCTGTGTCAATCAAGAGACTCAAAACCTGCCAGTGCCAAATTGGAAAGGCAGACTGCCCTGATCTTGCCTGCCATCATCCTGAGCTGGAAATGAGCTACTTCCTTGGCAGAGGAAAGACTTGCCCCATGCTAAAAAAATAAAATAAAATAAAATAAAATAAATCCATAATTCATTACCATCAGTGCAAGCAACAGTGGAAGCTGCTATGGAGACAGGGAGCAGGTGTTTAACGCAATATTGTCTGGTTCTGCTTTGAATAGGGTCAGACAAGATTGTGTTCAAAATACCTGTGTGCTGTCACTGCTCCAGCCTGCACTGGCAGATGATTCTGGGTTTGCATTTTCTTAGTGCCATCAGCCAGTAAATAACAAATCCACCTTAGAGATACATATTGCCTGTATTTCCACACAAGCTCTGTGTTACTGTGACAGAACAGAGCAGACAATGCAAGTGTCCACAAGTGAATATAACACAAAAAAAAAGCAAAATAGATGGAAAAAGGGGAGACGGAGAACAAGCAGGGAAGTGCTTTCAGATTAGAGAGTCTGCCGTATTATCTAGTGTATGCACAGTATCACCTACTGTATGGAAAGAAGACTATAATGCAGATTAAAGAGCACAGTGGAAGAAGAAAATTTGGTCATTCCGGCAGTTTTGTCTGGTCTTTCCTAAAACAATGCATTTATTTAGATAGCTGTAGATTCCCCTACAGCTCCAATTTAACATGCATTTCTAGTTTCCTCCAGACAGTTTTTACTGGAAGAGCTTATACTAGCCTTAATCACCTTAAGAGACTTGTGTTTTTAACAGCAGAATTTTGACCTGGAGCCTGACCAAATACTCTTGTTTTCCTGATGTCAGGTTCAGGTTTTGGAGCTGCCATCCAAGACATCAGTCTGTACCTTGAAGCCAGAGGTGGGTGCCAAGCTGGGCATGCCCATGTGTCTGAAGTTATGGCAGGTAAGGCAAGAGCGCCTGCTAATTGTGAAATGTTTTCCCTGTGATTCATTTTATATGAAGCACATGAATCTTTCTTCACTTGGATTTTGATTTACTATCAAACCAATCAAGTAATTATACTATTAAAGGGGGGAAAGATTTGTGAACATCCTTAATGTAACTTTCAGAGCTTTCCAAGCTTTAATGGAAGATTTGCAAATGCTCAGGGAAAGCTTTGTATCCTTAGGATAGATACAGTTTTTGCATCAATCAAGGGGAAAATGAGTGACTTACCAAAGCCAGTTGTTTGATATGGTTTTTCGCTGCATTAAGAATGATGAGAAATGATCAGATTACTTAAAAACGGTGATTTTAATGGCAGGTTACAGTCACTTCAGTGCCCTCAGGACAAGGAAGCACTCTATGAACATTTCTATTCCAGACATGCAATAGGAATAAAATATTTACGGTTGTATTGACTTTGGACAAAAAGGTAAATAAAAACAGTTAATGAAAAAACCACCACATCTGCAGAGTATTCAGCAAATCACATTTATGGAGTGCCACCAGTGAAAGACAAGTAGTACAAAAAGGTGGCAGTAGAGGGAGGAAGGAGTTTAGGTGATTATCTCCAAGTCTCCAAAGAATTGGTGACAAAGCTGATTCCCCATTTAACTCCTGACCACATACAGTGATAGGTCTGCAGTACCATTCAAGCTGATTCCAAGTGTGTTATTCCTGCAGGTTCATCCAAACATTTTTTTGGTTTCAGCTGAAAAAACTGTCAACCAGTTGTGAATTTGAGGACTTAGTCTCTTCACTAAAGGTCCTGAACTAACAAGTCTAGAGGAATTCAAGTGCTGACTTCAGACAAAAGTAGGAGAGGCCACAGTTCAAGTCAGTGGTGTAATTAAAAGCTTGAAAAAAAAAAATAGAAGGAAAATGAAATAGACTGATTAGGCTTTTATTAAACAGAAAGTTTCTCCTAAAAATGCAATCAGTGTTCAGTACTCAATGAAATGAATGGGGCTTTCTGTCTCCTGGACATATTTTAATAAGATGAAGATAACTGAGGAAATGTTCAGTGTTGAAAATTTTGTTGCCTGTATAAAAAGTCCTCTGTCTTGCCATATTTTCTACACACATTAATATTACTATTCCTCTAGGAAGCAGAGCAGGTGCAGAGTCTTAATTTTATGTAGTTTTTAATTTTGTTGCCAGTGGGGATAAAGCAGAGGACTGGGAACTGGGAGAGGTAAATTATTCCATGCAAATTCTGGCTTTGGGAAGTCACCACAACTTCCTAGGCTGCGACAGGCAAGGACAGATAATCCCTTACAGCCTCACAGCTGTACTTGCTCTTTTACAAATGTGTGCAACTCGCTTTCAAAGCATGGGGGAGGAGGGTACTCTTGAGGGCAAATAATTACATGTGGTGTGCCGAAGTGATGCTCCGCGCTCTGCTTTGTGGTTTCACTGGAAGCGGCTCGCTGAGTAACCCAGTAACCATAAAAGCAGAAGAACACGAGCTAACCCAGCTGCTCCCCTTCCTGAAGAGAGGCCGTCCAGGATTTCTTTGTACATTACTGCATTGGGCAATATAGACATACCCAGGAGATGAGCACTCCCCAGCCCATCGCTTGTGGGCAACGTGTTGCCTAACAGACTATTTGATGTTGCTTATGGCACAGTAAATTAACAAGTTGGAACAGAAGCTGCCATGGAGAGAGCTGCATAATGGTCTGAAGGAAGCATGCTCAGGGTTGTTGTCCAACAGGAGTCTAGGGGCTGCAGCCATGTACCATCGTATTTTTCTACATGCCAACAAAAAAAGAACCACGTATCAGAGAAGCAAGACACCTTACCAGCAGCAGCATGAATTAGAAACTTCAGAGTAGAAGAAAACTGAGGCTTAGGGGAGGCTGGTTGATGAAGCTTCCCTGGCTTCTCCTAAGCGGTTAAAAAGCTGGCAGCCGTTTATTTTGTTGGTTTGAAATGTTTTTTTCTCATTTTACTAGGTCTGTCCTTAGATGAGTTAGTTCGTTCCATGGGTTTTTTGCCTTGTGAAGGTTCATATTCTTAAATATACTGTCCCTTTGGCTTCACACTTTCCTGCTATTACTAATTGGGTGGGGTAGGATTTGCAGGAGTATGGATAGTCTTCCCTTAAATTTTTTGCACTCCTTGGGGAAGGCATCATGTTGCGTAATGGTGCAAACAAAATAATTCAACAGGAATAATACATGTAGAAACTGGAAACACAGAGTTATTACTTTATATAAACTACAGCAATTATTCCTGTTGAGTTGACAGCAGATCACTTTTTCTTCCTTCCTTGACAGTTATCCAAATGCAACAACAAAATGTCCTGCTTAGGAAGAACAATGATTTATAATTTAATTTTTCCATTGAAACAAAACCATGAATGGTGAAGACTTTTCGCCAGAAGTGTCCGTTATTGGGAAATGAAATAAATAGGCTGTTGTGAACCACTGCTTGGTGAGGCCAGGCATCAGACTCAGAGCTCCCCTGATCGTCAATAGCTTTTATTGTTTCAGTTCAAGTATACACACTCATTGAAATACTACATTTCATACAGTTAGGGAAAGTCAGGAAGAAGAAGTGTGGGAGACCTTCATTCCACAGAAAACAAGACTTTGTTTTAAAATAGACCAGTCTTGTATCTCATCTGCAAATTACTTGTTTTCAAATCTAAGCTAAGATGCCTGCAGCACATTAAAAAAAAAAAAAAAAAGAAAAAAAAAAAGAAAGGTTTTGCTCAGCATTTCCCATAATGCTGAGCACTCAGCTGTATCTCTTCTCTACATAAGGGCTATGAGTACCTGTGAAAATCTGGCCATCCCATTCTGAGTAAGGCAGAGGCACCAGCCCTGCCCATCCAAATCTTTTTTCCTGGCTACTGAAAGTTACACCTTCTGTAGAGCCCAGGGCTCCGGAGGAGTCGTGCTCATAGAAGAGCAGTACAAATAACTGGGGGCTGCTGTGGTGTGTTTATGCCCAAACTGAAAGCTTTTTTAAAACTTAACTGACATACCTATGAAATACGTGGTTTTGCTTTGAAGATTTTACCCTTCATTAAATATAAATAAAATCTGGAATATTCATTTCATTAGCTTCATTCAGATGTTTTTGTAACTTTCCCCCGGTATTAAAAAACAGATACTCTTCATCCAAAGTACCTGATGAGTTAACATTAATTGACATATATTTTATGAGTATTAATTGCTCTGATGTGATATTATTTTAGCAAATCAAAAATTTGACATAAAAATGGTGCACAGTTCTGGGCATTGTGAGACACCTTCTTTGTGGGCCTTCCTAGCCAGAGCATGCTCCCTACCCCTTCAAAAGAAAAGGGATCTTAAAGCAAGGAATGCGGCTCCTGCCGGATCCCAGCTGTGGGCAGACCTTTTCACAAAGATGATGCAGGGGATTTCCCCTTAGTTTCCTTCTTTTAAGGGGCAGTTTGCTTCCCCGAAGTGAGATCCATTCCTCATTTAAACACTTCTTTAGGCTGAATAAAGCTGAGAAAGAACATGAGGCTTTTACTCAGCAGCCTGACTGCCTAGACCACCCATCTCTTGTTGGTTTAACTTCCCCCAGAACAAATACTAACCAGTGGGAGATGGTCTGGACCATTAATGGGGCAGTGAGCCTTTGGCCACCGCAGGTTTCTATCATGAGCGTGACAGCCAGCGAGTTTGAAGAACCTTGTTAACAATGTGATGCCAGTGAAAATGAATTCTTTATAAATGTCCTTTGCCTTTATTTCAACCTGAATCCCAAGCAAACGAATCCCATAAGATCAGGTGGTGTCTGGCAAGAGCTGAATGAGCTATTGGATACATTTCATAGGCTATGTCTCTGCATGAGGTGGTGGTCATAATCCCAGTTTCTATTTTGCTGTTTCTTCTCCTATTAAAGCAATAACTGGCATTAACAGATCCCTGGTTTTCAGTTACTTTTTGTTAGGGATTTGCATCTTCACTCATGTACCCAGTCACTGCTCACAGGGTCATTAGTCTTTTGGCTGGGGCAATGATGAATATTTTCCTTAAGTGTGACATGTAATCCAGTAATGTCCCCTTCTTCGAGTTATTTCAGAGGCTTAAATAAATTAGGTGTCTGCCCAGGGTGCCATGCCCTTTGGCCTGTGACATCATTAATCAAAATAGCTTTCAATTGGTTACAGTGGGACTCAGGCGCCCGTTAACCCCTTGGTGACTCACCCAGAGATTCCTGAGGAGAGGTTCAGTGTTTGCCTTTAAGCACTGTGGTGCACACGGGTAATCGATGCCTGTGTGTAACCTACACTGGCACAGTGACACGGGAATCTTTACGCACGGCGCTTCTTTCAATGGCCAGAGGGTTTTTATAGTTTGATAGTAACTCTGCTGCTCTAATTTTTTTTTAAGGAGCACAAGCAAAATTCAGGCCATGAAGTAAAACTTCTGAAAACTTCAGGTAGCCTTCAGGTGTTGTAGAGGGCAATAGTTTGGATTTTCAGAGAGAGATTTTCTGTATGTGTGTGTGTCTATGTTAGATACATATTATATATATAAACCACAGAATTTTATATGCAGCTATAAAAACCACACGTGCATGTCAGCAGTTACCTAGTATTGCTTTTTGTAAGTGGATGGACTATCCAGATTTCACATTCAGACTTCTAAACTTTTCACTTCTACACCAGTCAGCATTTTCATTTATTTTCCTGGTGCTTGGACTGAAACCTACTTGGGGATGATAATTTTCCTGACAGACTATTTCCTTTTCAAACAATTTTACTTTTCTCTTGATCAGCTCAGCTGTGGTTCACAACCTCTGCTTCTAACTGGCTATGAAGATGGATCAGTGGTCCTTTGGAATTTGTCGATGAGAAAAGCATTGAGCCAACTTGTTTGCCACCAGGAGCCAGTGATGAGCCTTGACTTTGACTCGGAAACGGCCAAAGGGATCTCAGGCTCATCTGAAAAGGTGCTTAGCATCTGGAGCCTCAATGAGCAACAGAACCTCCAGGTCAGGATCACTGGCCCTCCAGTGTCATTTATCCCACTTTGCACTAACAGTTTGATAGACTAAAAAAATATTTAGTCATGAAGAGAAGTTGTTGCAGATCTCTAGCTAATTAATCACAGACTGGTTAGAATGTCTGTGCTATGTGACTAGACTTAGCAAAAGATGGCAAGGATTTAAAAAAAAAAAAAAGAAAAAAAACCCTCTCACATGTTTCTGGTTTTACCAAAGTTGCAACAGGCGCACGAGCCTAGCGCTACTCAAGCCATTGCCTCTGTATCTTCATTTATCACGTTAGTAGTATCCAGCTCTCAGAATGTCCTAAATATTATAAATGAGTTCTAAAAATGAGAAACAAAGGATTGCTTTTCCAAAGGTTCTGCTTGAATGGATAGAGGTTTCTTTCCACTGTGGGAAAGACAGAAATATTCCATGAAATACTTCACAAGCAAAAAAGAGTAGCAGTAGCCCAGCTAGCACCAAGAGGACTTGAGGTTCAGGCAACCAACTTCCCTTGGCACCTTCAGAGCCCCAGCTGGAGACAGGGAAAATAAGTTAATTGGATGTATCAGTTTGTGTCGGAGCTACGCATACCTGGGATGGCTGGTTTGGAAGGAGGGCTCATCATCACCAGCTCAGGCTATGCTAGTGAACGGCAATAAATATTGCTTAATCTGGACAACTTTAGCAAAGTGTTCCAACAGTGCCAAGGGGTTAAGTAGGTTTTAACTAGGTGTGGAAATGAAGAGCATAAATAAGGCTCATGAAAATTAAAATGGCCCTGAGTGCTTTAACCTTTTTTAAAGTGGCACTTGTCCCCTGAACACACAATGAAGAAGGTGAGTAGACAAGTCCCAGTGAGAAACTTGGTATTGAGACGAGTTTTCTAAGGCCAAGGTGTCAAAACTCTGATATCATGACAGGCTTCTTAAAGCTTCAAACACTCCGGTGTTGGAGAGGAAGCTGTTCCTTCGTATTAATTATGGCATAGCTTTTTTGTAAATTCAAAGAAAATCTTTCTCCACAGCACATTTCAGTTATGAATGAACTGTAATGCAGGGGTACAGGTGTCACTCATGGGAAAAATAAACAGTTGTTCACCTGAAATATTCCAGGTATTGTTTGCCACATGGTACTCACATTCCCAGGAGATGTAGGATTAGGTTACATCTTCAACACATCACACAGAGATAGTAGATTTTCTCAACAGAAATTTAAATGCCAAGTATTACAAACGGTAAGTAATGTTTCTGTGCTTCGTGCGTAGCATTAATGCCCTAATAAAACGCATCTTTCATACGAGCACTAGAGATTGTCAAGGACATAGATTAAGCTTTTTTCCACTATTGCATTAATAATATAAACCAGATGGGGACTTTTTTTTTTCCCTGACATTCCAAGTACCTGAGGTAATGGTAGATGTTGGAAAGCCACTCAGTGGCACATTATTTTTATTCTAAAGGTTTTAATAAGTAAACGTGGTGCACAGCTATCTGCCGTTGGAGAAATAATGACGCAATGATGGTACTTCAGCTCTGTTTTAAGTGGCAATGTTCCAGAGTGTCAATGAATAGATGATGAAGGTAACTTCATAGTTTATTGCTATGGGGAAAGTTTGGTGTATTGTCTTCTACAAGAAAGTTGCTGAAATCATCACTGTCAGCAAATGACTGGATTGGTTATGAGCCTTCTGATTTGGATGAGATAGTGTAATTATGTGATGATGTTTGTGGTAGAATGTAGGAGGTAAACAGCTTCTGCAGGTGAATAAACAAAGCAGAACTAAGAAATCTGATAATCACAGAAGCTGCTTTATATATGACCAGGAAAAAAAATCTATAAGCTGTAACGTAAGTAAGCACACAAGTTTTGTTGGTTGGGTTGCTGAGGCTTTTCATTCAAACACTAAAGCTACAGCTGCCATCTTGGCTACTTTTCTTACAAGAACAGGGCTTAGCAACATGCTTTGTGGGTAGGAGAGGGAGATTAAAGAAAGAAAAGAAAAATCGTAGATAGCGTGTGTTAAGGAGGGAAGAAGAGGTGGGTATCTGTTGGCCTCAGCATGTCAAAATTTCTTAATGCATCTGCTAGTAGATGCACGTGTCCTTGGTCATGACTGGCTGAAAGCAGCTCACCTGTTTTTACCTCTTTGTTTTCTTAATTACAAGCTGGTTTTCTGGTTAGGAAATAATGTTGGTGTGCATTTGACTACAGTAGTTGCCCATAAGTGGCTGAATGGCACAAATCCTGGCACTAGGATTTCACCTGGCTGCAGATACCTTGAGCAAGTTGTTCTACTTCATTTTGTTTTTCTCTCTCACCTCTTGTATTTGCAGATCATGCACAAATGCCCACTGTTCCCTCATGTTCCATAGCCAAAAGGCATCACCATTATAGGCTTCATTTTCAAGTTGCAGCTTGCTGATGACATACGATTTCACCCAGTCGCCCTGATTTTGCTGTATGGATCTTGCCCATATAATTGACAGTAATGATGGGAAGCACCACGCCTGGCATTGGTTATAGCCATTAGCTAATAATCTCAGTTACAGAGCAAGGCCCATCTTACATCTGCCAGGCTGGTGATGGAGTAATAAATCCTTCCCTTGCCAGTACGCGTACGCCAACAAAAATCCCACTGAAGCCATGCTCCGTGAGCGTAACCGGGGAGTTTGAAAGAACGTGCGTAATAACAAAAAGCACAGGTTTCACAGTAGCAGCCCCTCAACAAAGCCCACATACAGCCTCTTACTTTCATCAGGCTTGAGCAAAACGTGCTCTCCTCTGTTCTGAATTGGTTGTAGACACATTCGTCGGGTCCATTTGAGAAAGGAATGTGTGGAGCATGCAAGAAGCACGTCAAGTCTCGTTCCCATTGAACTGCCCCTCTCTTGCTGTTTGAGTATGTAGCCGGGCACTTGTTGTATAGTTGAAGAATAATTGCTTATAATGTTGATTCCAAGATGTGTTCAGCTGCATCTGAAACCAAACTTGACCAGCACTTCTGGAGTTTTAGTTTTCTACATTCAGTATTATAGTTCAAATTATCTGCAATATGTATATTCTTTAAAATCCTGTACTAATTATACATTGTGGAATGTCCTTCGAGGAGGAAAGCCACTCAGATGTAACATGCTCATCAATCCCTTCCCACCTCAGAAAAGCAGCAAACACACAGCGTATTAAAACATGCACTGAGTTATATTAAGCTTTGGTACAAGATAGCTACAGACTCAGTCTTAAGTAGACGGTGGCATTAACACATAGTTTCCTATTGTGCTTGTAAATAACAGCACTTCAGGGTCAGCACACACTCAGGTGGTGTTTTCCACCCTGACAAAAGCGAGGCTGTTTCAGCACACACGCGTGCACACGCACGCTCCGGTGCATATACTGCCTGTTTCAGAGGCAGACTGCTGACTAATACAAGTTACCTGAGGTGAGAACAGCAAAAGCATATTCTGTTGAGCTTTTTTTCCCCTCTGTGCTTCAGGGGAAGCTCGTGTCAATGAAGTGGAAACTTTTCTTTCCACAGCTAAGTCCTGTGCAGCCCCAGTGCCTCCTGAAGGAAGCCAAATGCCTCCCAGTTTAATTGTGCCCCTCAGAAACTTGTGCCCATAGTCTTGGGCGTATACTTGTGCCCATATGTAGAAACTTGTGCCCATATGTAGTCTCTGTACAGTAACAAAAGGCTTCCAAGATTGAAATCAATAACTTGGTCATAATCCCCTTCTTGGAATTTGGTGTAAATAAAAGTCTCTTGGGAAGGAGTACTAGAAATACAGATTTCCTGACACTGTAACCTAATTCCTGGAAGCATTCCTTTCTCAAGACTGTGGTAAATGCTACCACAGCTTATTGGGGTTTTTGCGATGGGCCACAGTAGTAGAAATAAGTAGCAGGTAGTTTAAACATCAGCACGGGAATACTGCAGAAGCAGGGAAAATGTATGGCCATAGCTCTGAACGTTGCAGCTCATGCAAGAATAGCTGGAAGAAAAGAGCACAGCTGTGTAGTCTGGGTCTCAAACCCTTGCCTCAGTGTTTCACTTGTGACAGAATATAAACAGCTTGAAATGCAATATAAACTGAAAACATACAAGGGATGCTTTTATGTTTAGAGAATGGTACTGGAGCTAGACAGGCTCGAGTTAAGGTCTTTTCCATGTCTGTCTATAATTGTTCTCACTAAAGCATCATCCACTCTATGGTGAAAAGCTCCATACTACCCGTGTGATACCAGTGTATATGGGTGGGCACTATAGCTTCTGAAGTCCCCAAAGGTTTCTTTTTCTTCTGTTTGTTTTGAACAATTAGAGCTCATCTATAACTTTCTCACACAGGTTCACAAAACACACAAACTTGTCAACGCTGGCATATCTGATATCACCATCCGTCCAGACAAGAAGATTTTAGCAACAGCAGGGTGGGATCATCGCATCAGGATTTTTGGCTGGAAAACACTGAAGCCCTTAGCAGTGCTGGACTACCACACAGCAACCGTCCATTGTGTGTCCTTCTCAGATCACAAGAACCCCAGCGAGAGACTGCTGGCAGCTGGCTCAAAAGATCACCGCATCAGTATCTGGTCAATATATACTCAGACGTGACATACTCTGCACTGTTGTGGCCCAGGAAGACAGGACTGGTGAAGCAATTCTTTACACTGTAATTCAAACCTGGACATGGGGAAGTAGCAGAATGTGTTTCCAGGCTGAAGTGAGAGTCCTAGGTTAATTTTTATTCTGCTTGTGCAAGCTGCAAGTTTTGTTTTCCAGAGAGGGAAGTGGATTTTTTAAATTTGTAACAAGCAGAGCAAGGCCAGTCAGGAAGCTACAGAACAAGTCACTTTCTACTACAGGTTTTGCAGCAGCTTTTCTTTGGCAGGTTGCTTAAATAACTTGTGCCAATATCTTCTTTTGTGAAAAAAGACTGGAATCTCTCAGACTTCGATGGGGGCAGAATATGTCTGTTTGTAAATCATTTATGTAT